TTTACCAAAAAAAAGAGAAAAATAAGAAAAAGGGAAATAAAACCAAAAACGCTCTTGTGGGCTACATAGCCTTAGTCGACCTGTTCCATGCTGGATGTTCCGGCGGTGGCCTCCACGGGCGCTGCAGTGGCGGGTGCCGCTGTCTTCTCTTCCTCGTTTTCGTCATCATCATCAAGTGAGAGACCCAGCTTGATCATACGGTGGATGCGGTCAGCGTAGGCGGTGGGGTCGTCGAGCGTAAAGCCAGACGTGAGGAGCGCGGTGTCGAAGAGGAGGAACACCAGATCCTTCACCGCTTTGTCGTTTTCGTCTGCCTCCACACGACGCTTGAGCTCCTTCACGATGGGGTGTGACGGGTTGATCTCCATTGTTTTCTTTGACATCATGTACGCGGACATGCTCGAGTCGCGCAGGGCCTGGTTGCGCATGATCTGCTCCATGTGCGCACTCCAGCCAAACTCTGACGTCACGAGAATGCAAGGTGACGTTGCCAGGCGCTCCGAGACCACGACCTTCTCCACCTTGTCTCCCAACACCTCTTTCATCGTCTTGCACAGCCGCTCGAAGGATGCCTTCTCCTCCTCCCGCTGCTTCTTCTCCTCCTCGGACTCCTCAAAGTGGACGCCTTCCTTTGTCAGGCATGCGAACTTCTTGTCTTCGAAGTCCTTCACCTGCTGCATAACGTACTCATCAATGGGCTCCGTCATGAAGAGCACCTCAAACCCGCGGCGCCGCGCCTGCTCAATGAATGGGGAGGTCTCCAGCTTCTTCTTGCTGTCACCAGTCACATAGTAGATGCACTTCTGCCCCTCCTTCATGCGCGTGACGTAGTCCTTCAGTGTTGTCATCTCCTCTCCAGACTCCGAGCTGTAGAAGCGCAACAGTTCCATCAGCTTCTTGCGGTTTGCACTGTCTTCATGGATACCAAGCTTGATGTTCTTTCCGAACTGCTCGTAGAACTTCTTGTAGTCCTCCTTGTTCTCTGCGATCTCCTCGAACAGTTCCATCGCCTTCTTCACGATGTTCTTTCGAATCACCTTGAGGATCTTGTTCTGCTGCAGGTTTTCACGAGAGATGTTGAGCGGGAGGTCCTCGCTGTCCACAACACCGCGCACGAAGCCGAGCCACTCGGGGCACAGGTCCTCGCAGTTGTCCATAATGAACACGCGGCGCACGTACAGCTTAATGTTGTTGCGCTTCTTGCTCGGCTCGAACATGTCAAATGGTGCACGCTTCGGCACAAAGAGGATTGCGCGGAACTCCAACTGGCCCTCCACAGAAAAGTGTTTTGTTGCCAGAGGCTCCTCCCAGTCGTTCGAGATGGCCTTGTAAAAGGCGGCGTACTCCTCCTTCGTCACATCCTTCGGGTCGCGTGTCCAGAGCGGCTTGTGCTTGTTCTGCACCACAAACTCCTGCGTCACCTCCTTCACCTTCTTGGTCTTCTTCTTCTTTTCCCCCTCCTCATCGTCCTTGACCTCCTCCACCTTTGGCTCCTCACCATCCTCACCCTCTTTCTTGGCTGCCGCCTCCTCGTCCTCATCCTCATCTGTCACCTCCTTCTCTGTGGTCTTCTCCACCAGCAGCTCAATGTCGTAGCCAATGAACTCTGAGTGCTTCTTGATGAGGTCCTTGAGGCGTCGCTCCTCCAGGTACTCCTGCTGGTCCTCCTTCAGGTGCAGGATGATGCGTGTGCCACGCTTCAGGTCGCAGTCTGGAACAGCTGTCACAGTGAACGTACCACCGGCAGATGACTCCCACATGTACGCATCGTCGTCGTTGTTCTTCGACACAACAGTCACGCGGTCCGCCACAAGGTAGGCCGAGTAGAACCCAACACCGAACTGACCGATCATGCTCATATCACCACCTGCCTCAAGCGCCTCCATAAAGGCCTTTGTACCGGAGCGTGCAATGGTACCCAGATTGTTCACCAAATCCGCCTTGGTCATACCAATACCGGTATCCTCCACCGTCAGCGTCTTGTTTGTCTTGTCGGGGATCACACGAATGCGGAGGTGTGGCTCATCGCCGAGCACCGCCGGGTTCGTCAGGCTTTGGTAACGGATCTTGTCACACGCATCAGACGCATTGCTGATCAATTCACGCAGAAAAATTTCCTTATTTGAATAGAAGGTGTTAATTATCAGGCTCATCAGCTGATTAATCTCAGCCTGGAATGCGAACGTCTCCGCCATTTTTTATGGTTTATCGGGGATTATGCTGTGTTTGTAATTTGTTTCCTGTTAGAGGCAAAAAGCTTTACGAATGCTGGGGGGGCAAGTGGTGCAAGCGAGAAATGAAACAGTCACCAAAACAAAAAAGAAAAAAAAAAGGGAGAGAGAAGGGACCAGGTGTATCGCGAGCGGCAGTAGCAGCAAAAAAGAAAGAATAATAGCAACAACAACAACAACAAGAGGCCCTACCTTCTCTCTTTGTCCTGCCAATGGCAGAGTGAGAGAGGGCGGCACAAGGACACACAGACGTGACAGATAGACAATAATTAATAATAATAATAATAATAATAATAATAATAATAATAATAATAAAAACAATAATAATCATAATAGGGTCAGGTGTATAACATTTTCTTTACCAAAAAAAAAGGGGAAAATAAGAAAAAAAAGTAGTGGGTGCCATTCCATTGTGTAGTAAATAATATTTACTATTCATATTTTTACTTGATGGTAGGGGAATGTGTTGATTTCTTGTGATATTGTGTACGGATAACGTTTTTTTTTTCCCCCCCTTTAAAAATGGCATATATGCGGTGTTATTAAATTACATTTTTTCGTAATAAGATGTGAAGCAGGTTTTGGTTTTTGTATCGTGGTAGTTTGTTTTTGATGATAACGAGATTGAGTTATTATGAGGTGAATGCAATTGTATGTGGGATTTCTTGATGTAGTGTTAATCTCACGTTGTGGTGGTTTTTCTTCACCACATTGTATCCGTGAGTTTTTTCTTTTCTTGTTGACCGAGTTACGTTTGTAATTAGGATAAAGTACTTTTTTAATTATCGTGTTCGTGAAGCACCTTTAAAAACGTACTCACAATAACAACACACAGAAATGTTACATGTATTTCGACAGTTACATATTTCTGTACAGTTGGTTATACGTGCGAAGACGGTTACATTTTACTCTGTGACTAATATTTTTCTTTATGCGAAAGCTTGTACTAACATATTAAAAACAAAAAACAAATAAGGAGTCTTTAGTTTAGAGATGTACGCTTAGGATCGGCATATACATACATATATATATATATATATATATATATATATATATTTTTTTTAATATTCTACTCATTACCACATTTGCAGAAGTTTAAAATAGTCTTTATTGGCGTGTGAAAAACTCGCATAGCTGCTTAGTGACTCTTCTTTTTATTTTTCTATTCTTTGTTTTTTTTTTCTTTTTACAGTATTTGTTAGTCGTTTGAAATAGCATTATTGGGTTCGGCAGTTTATGCGAGAATATTCAATTGACTGACACGCAGTTGTGGTTATGAAGATAATTGTAGAGTGTGTACAGGTGAAATAAGAGTGGGGGTATGGATCTAGTGAGCACACAAAATAAAGTTAAGAATTATGTGCTCAGTCTGGATGTATGTCTCTTTCATTGACAAAAAAGAAAAGAAAAGGTAGGGATGGTGCAGAGATAGTATCGCATCTAAAAAAAAAAAAAGAAGGTTACAAAAACGCAATAACAAAGATAATAAGAAGGTACATGATAAACACAATACACAATTTCTTTTTTTTTTTTTTCCTTTATGCATAAACAACATATGTGGAGGTGGGGGTTTATTGACATATCCGTTAAGAACATCTATCGAAGCTCCTCTTCCAGCAGTGAAACCGGCGGCGGGGGTGTGGCGCTTTTAGTTCGTTTTAATGGCACGGCTGGACCAAACACACGCCAAAACTTCAATGTCTCATCTTGTGCAGCACAAATTCTTTCCATATCAGGTGCGAGTGTCATGCAGGAAATGCTCGCCTCACAATTTGGTGAACTGAGTGTGCCGATAAGGTGAAATTTATTGGTGTTGCGAACCTGAATTTGTCCACTCCCTCGATGTGATGTTGACAATTCCCCTACTCCTGGCGGTGATACAATACCGGTAATGGGATATAGCGTGTTAATAGCTCGTACAATAGAATGTGTGTCTGTGTTTGTCCCCTCATCATCACCTCGCATCGCTGATGACAGATTTGTCATGGGTGCGTGTGTATCAACGTAGCACAACATACCATCTTGTCCTCCAGTGTACATCTTACTGCGCTTATCGGGATTCCACAGAATAGAATTTACGGAGCCGCGGTGGACTTTATCAAAGGCATAGCGTGGACAGCTACTACGCCGCGCGTCCCACACACGTACCGCACCTTCTGCTCCTCCTGAAGCCAAATAAAAGGGCTCTTGTGTACAATAGTTAAGAGAGGTGATGCCACTGGTGTGGCCTTCATAAACTGAAATGAGGGCCTGTTTCGCTCGGAGATCGAATACGTACACACCACCACAGGCTGTACTGCTGCCAATAGCGAGAAGGGGACCATTCACAGCGAGATGAGTAAACTCTGCCCCAGATGGAAGTTGTACACGCAGTGTTCGTAAAAACTCCTCTCGACGACAGTCATAAATCGCAGTTGTACCTTCATCCAAGACAAGTGCAGTACATGTACATTTGTGTAGCCAATGAACTGCTCGAATTTGCATATTTTCCTGCAGTTGAACAATTCTAGAAGCCTGAGTAGTCTCAGAATTCCATCCATAAAGGCAATTTTTAAGCCCTATAATGAGTTTATTATTAGTTCCCCAGTGAAGAAGTTGGGAGGCGTCTACTGGAAATTCCGGTGCATCAAGAACCCTCTCTGGATTAGTGAAAAGCACTCGCTGTGGTACCGATTTACAAGGTTTTAGACGTTTTAACATAAGCGCTCTCCCTGTAGGAGAACTATCAAACAGTCTTGAGTCAGAAGTATGACCCAGAATTCTTCCACCACCTCGTTCATAGGAGTTACCTCTACCATCACTGTGAGATGATATAGCACCACCACCACCACCACCACCACCATTACTACTACTAATAGCAACACCAGATTTCAGTAATCCTTTACGATTATAAACACCGCATGTGTTATCAAAACGCAGTACATCACCACCAATCTTGCGATGTCCTTGAGTACCCTCACTACTCAACTGCTCAGCAAGGACTTCGTTATAAATGGACGTCGCATAGGATGAGTCATCCGAAACAAAGGACTCTGAGAATGCACTAGAGTAAGAAGTAGTGGCAGAGAGAGGAAGTGAACGTCCACCTCCGTTAGCTCCATTACCTCCACCACCACCTGCTCCTCCTCCGTTTATTGGCATAGTAGATATGGGGTTGGGTGTTATTATGCTTGTTGTTTTTGTCATTGCCGTAGTGGTGAGATTGTAGGAAGAAACAGCCATGTCCATTCCTTCACGCTGCGGAATGTGTCGCGAGAGACGCACACGTGGGACATTTTCGTCATCGTCATCATCACCACGGCCTACACCGCCGCTGCCTGGTGAGCGAAGGAATACCTGCAAGTTGTTAGCAGAGAGTTCCTGTAGGGATGGACTGCCAATAACACGTGGACGTCGCTTACCTGAAGGGCGCCCCGATGGTGTGGAATCCAACTCTGAATGTGCCCACTGCCGCATTTTACCACTATTTCTTTTTTTTTTTTTCTCTCTCTCTTCCTATATCTATCTATCTATCTATTTATATTTATAGGTCTCTCTCACGCAAACACACGCAGGGTGACTCTTTCGTTTTTTTTTTTTTTTTCTTTTCCTCTCTTTTTATAAAGCGAAGAGTATAATACGAGTAGAAAAAAAAATCAAAGAAAATGTAAAAAAAAAAGAACAACAAAAAGTTAAAACTGTAGGCAGCAGAAGAAAAAAAGAACACCACAACAAGGAAAACAAACAAAAAAAAACATATTAAAATAAAAAATCTTAATATGAGAACTGAGAAGGAATGATGTAAGAACAATAATGTGCGGCAAAAAGCAACATCAACTCTATCCAAAAAGTGAAGAAGCATAAAATCGCACTTATCAGTACACAACTTCCAGTGGTCACCAAGATTACCAAGGATAAAAAAAAAAAAAAAAAACACTTTCGCCTAAACGTGTTGTGACTTGATCTATTAAACCCCTTCTCCTCACCTCCCCCACTAAATCATATAACTTGAATTATCTCTTTTTTTTTTCCTTCATTCCATATTTTTGTAATACACTCGGTCATATATATTTTTTTTTTTCCTTCATAATCCTAAGATCGGTTATTACTTCTTCTGAGGGGGAAGGATGGGGTTAAATACATCTCCACGGAGTGCTTGTTGTCGTTCAGCGAGGTGTAGGCAAAGATGTCGCATAAGGCTATACATCTGCCCATCACTTCTTATTGATAACAAAGATTCAGCAAAAAATGAAAATATATCCCAGTAATAATCTGGAGGTACAAAGAAGCCAAGTCGTGCGAGCAATACTACTGCCATCACATCACCAGAAAGTATAGAAACTAGAACAGGTGTTGTGGAGTGTGTAAGCATGTTTTTCACAGGATGAACTGGACGATCATCACGATATTCAAAAAAATACACAAATTGTTCAAATTGTGTGTGTCTTTTTTTCCAACGTTTAGATATTTCTGTAAAGATTCGTGTGCGATTATCACGAATCCAGTCAAACTTTAACATAGAATTAAGAGTTTGCCAATCTTCGTGGGCAGTAACACTTGGAAGTGGGAGATGGTAACCTTCACCACACAGATACTCCTTAATGAGATTAAGCACATTAGGATGTTGTTCAGCCAGCAAACGGAGTCGAAGGGAACTTTGTCGTGCTTCAAATACAAGTGCTATTTGTAAAAGACCCAAAACAACATCACCAGATTGAAGCATTACCGCCCCAAGACGACTAGATGCTGCCCGTCGTACTGATGATGATATTACTTCTTGTATAATAGGACAAGCTTCCAGACCATGTTGGCATTGATTGGAATGTGGTAAAATATTGCTAGTGCTACTACTAAGAGCGTTGGGTTGAACTTTCGAACACCAAAGAGGTGTTTCAGCATCTGTACTACACTCTTTACCTTTAACGAGTGTTACTACATGGTCCACATTAAGAAACTCAAGAGCACTGGGGAGTTTTACAAGACTGACGAAGTTCACTGGGGCAGGTGGAATGGATTTTATCTTCGCCAAAGAAGCCGAACGAATATTCTCAATAACTGAGAGTTCAATATCTTTTAACGCAGCACGGCTATATATTTGGCGTTCAGTTTTGGAGCGGGCAAACGTGGGGATGAACGGCCGCGCATCAGGATTCATAGGCGGGGCCTTAAAGAAGGATTAAGAAGTCAAAGAAGAAGAAGAATAAGGTACACAATTTAGAAATACACATAAATAATACAGAGCATAGCATTAAAACACACACTCACACAACACCAGAAGAGATGACTCTCTTTCCTTTCGTCTTCAGTCTTTACAAGACGCAAGCACTAATAATAATAGTAAATAATAATAATAATAATAATAATAATAATAATAATAATAATAATAATAATAATAATAAACGATGCAGACGAAACACCTTCTTGTCTGTGGAATATACAACTGTAGCAATTGAGATACAAAGGAAATGACAAAAGATTATGGAAAGGAGCCTACAAAAAGTTAACATTACTCGTACTTGTGGCATCGTTACGTCAAGAAAAAATAACATGGAGTCTGTCTGTAACGTAACAATAATATCTAAAATTGACTTTCCCTCTTCTTCTATTTCCGATCATGTTCAAATAATATTTTTCTCACGGATAATAAATAATAAATAAATAATAATAAATAAATAAATAAATAAATAAATAAATAAATAAATAGACTAACTCAAATAGTGCACTAGACCACGAGTACGAAAGCTTCTAGAGTGGATCTAGGGAACTAATGATTCTAAATATGTTTCAATGTGCTTTCCGCACAACAATTTGATCAGGGAGAAACCGACGCTGCCGCACCCATGGTGGCTTAAAGGTGTACATAATGTAACCATCATCTGTAAGGACATCCCAACCCTCAGGAACCTTCTGTAAACCAAACGTTCGTACCGCTTCACTTCGTTTAAGTGATGCATTCATATAACGCAATAGTGTTCCTGTGTTGCGTACCCGGTTTCGCTTCATATAAACCACAACGAGATCTTCCGCGGTGGAGATAACCATCGGGTCGGTCTCCGCCCAGTCTCGTGCCACTGTACGGTAAAGAGCGGCAACGCAGTCCCCCAGTAAATACCGTGTTGGTCTCTCCAGCGCCCGACCACCACTTGGAATGAATGGTCGACCGAGTCTCTTACAGTCGCTGATGAAACGTTGCTGCCGCTCAATCTCGCGATGTCGGTCATATGGATCTGAGATTAGTTGGTAGGCGGTGTATGGGTCCTCATAACGGTGATGCCGCATGTATGTACTCGATGATGAGGAAAGTGAATCAAGTGAGTTTGATTCCACATCTGCATCATCTCCGTCGCGGTGATCAGTATGATTTGTCATTTCCTGTTCTTCTTCCTCCATGACATCCTCTTCGTCCTGTGCGATAATCATGAGGTCTACGCGTGAGGGAGCCACTCCTTGTCTTGCGGGGGGCCGACTTCCCACTGTTGTCGTCCTCGCCTTTGGGAGGGCGGGGAGTCCCGTTCCGCCCGGCTGGGCTCGTCCTCGGCCGCCTCGCGCGGGTGGCGAGAGAACCGACTCTCCGCTTGGCCCCCATCGTCGAATAGTCTGGGGTATCATCCCCTTTTGTTTATTTTCCCTTTAAATAGGAAGAATATATATATATTCTTATCGTTTTTCTTTTTTTTTCTTTTTCCTTTTTACCACTCTCTACACTTATCCCGTCTAAATACTAATATATAACTCGTCTAAGAACTGAAATAAATAAGTAAATAAAAAAAAAAATAAATAAAAATATAAAAATAAAATATATAATAACAATAATAATAATAGTAATACATATAATATATATATATATATATATATATATATCTGTTTGGTCTTTGCACCTTCCACATAATTAAGCAAAATAAGTAGTAATGAAAAGAAAAATAAGATATGGTGAGAAATATTTATCTTTTTTTTTTTTTATATCAATATAGAGTAATAAACTCAGTAAGAGAAGAGAGTAAATACAAGAGGATTTAACCACCGTATAACAAGTTACAAGACAGTTAAACGGAGAAAATGCAGGTATCAAAATTACTAATAGACTCATAACAAAGAAAGAAAGAAAATTCATATAGGTATACAATCCCAGAAATATATGTACAGACAATATCTTCTATCTAACTATCTTATCAGCTGACAGGTTCCCTTGTACTACGGTAACCAGAAACAGAATTTGTAAAAAGTGAAATCACATTTATCAATTTATCTAGACTTTTAATTTCGATATCATTATGTTTGCACTCATCAAACCAATGGTGATATACGTTTGATTCATTCTTACGAACTCGTTGTGCTTTTTTAACCGTTTTTAACAATTTTTCGGCACAGCTAAATGACACCACCTCATCTTTTTTCCCATGTAATAAAAGTACTGGGCAATCATTTACTTTTTTAAGAAACTTTTTATTGGGAAACATATCTTTAACAAACAAATACCTCAAAAAGGAACACCTCACAGCTCCCAAACATGAGGTGAAAGTTGACAACAGAATAAGTCCACCAATGCTGGAATGATGTTTCTGCGCCAAATAGCAGGCAGGTCCTCCTCCCATTGAACGACCCATAAGAATAATACGATGTGGAGAAATATGTAAACGTTCTGTTAGTTCAGTATACATGACATCTGCATCCTTGTAAACACTTTTTTCGGTTGGAGCGCATCTACCCTCCGCCTTGGAAAAACCATAGCCACAGTAGTCATATACAATAATATCAACACCAATTGCATGTGAGAGAAGTCGTAACCCCTCATGGCATGAACCCAAGTCTTCTGCATTACCATGACTATAAAGAATAGTAAGGGTTTCTTCTCTTTCTGCAACAGTAACTGCTGATGCAGGACACCGGATGTGTATATAGTAAATATTTGCTTCTCCCTCACTTGCAATAGACATCAAATTCCAACGTCTCATTAAATCTATTGACGGTAATGGACCTGGAGGCTGAAAGACAAAACGCTTTATCATTTTTTCTTTTTTCTTTCTCCTTATATATATATATCCGTTCAAATAATAAAATAAAACAATAAAAAATCCCACACCTAAACGAAAAAAAAAAAAAATAATAATAATAATAATAAACTCACTTTTGGTCACTTTCCACGCCCTTTTGTACGTTTTCCTTTCGCCTTGTTTTAACGACGGAAAATAAATAAGTAAGAAAAGAAAAAAAAAAATTATAAATGGAAAACAAAGACAAATTTGGTGAGACAATTTGAATCTAAACAGAAACTAAAACAGAGAAACATATATATGCCTATTTTTTTTTTTTTTTCATACAAGAAACAGCGTCTTTTACTTTTCAGTTTATTCTTCTCATTGATAACCCAAAACACTTCTCTTTATTGTCCCTCACATTGTATTCAATGTATAAAGGGTTGAGAAATAACAAGAACAGGCGCACCATCCCTCTCACTATTTCTCTCTCTCTCTCTCTATATATATATATATATATGTATATGTATGTATTATATGGTTCATTTTTTTTTTTTTTTAGTTTTCTTCTTTCTTTCTATGGAATGTATCTGCAGTAGCATAGTTTCGCGGCAACATAAACAGCAAAAATTAGAATATATATATTTCTTAACGACGAAGAAAAAAATTTCAAATGTAATGGGAAATAATAAAAGAAAACAAATAATAATTTTATCCCTTTTCTTTTTCTTTTTAGTTCCCAAAGAGTGGGGACACTAACGGATCCTGCTGAATTTCGAGACGCAGCTGCTGTCGTGCCAACTCATTGTCTTCACCAGCAGCCTTGTTACCGTTCTCTAACTCACGAATGCGTTTCGCGTAATACGTGACTCTATCCGTTATCTGTGGAGATGCAGAAGCGAGACGTGCATGGGCCCGTTGTTGTTCTTCATCCTGTTCAAAATCTTCCAATTCTGCGGCTTTTTGTTTGGCCGCCTGCACCACCTCCTCTGGAAGATTAGCGAGTTGGGCCACATACAAGCCGTAACTACGTCCACACGGTCCTGGTTCCAGTTTGTATGAAAAGCGCAGTGTCCCATTATTACTTGCATCCACGTCCGCCCCAAAGTGCACATTCCGCACATTTGCATGTTGCCCTGCGAGTTGCGTCATTTCGTGAAAGTGTGTGGAGAAGAGTAAAGCGGCTCTTGCCTTCACGGCGACTGCCTGAGCGATGGCCCAGGCGAGGCCGAATCCATCATAAGTGGAGGTGCCGCGCCCGAGTTCGTCCACGATGGCGAGGGCGCTGGGGGTGGCGGCGGCGAGGAGGGCCGCGGACTCCAGCATCTCCAGCATGAAGGTCGAGAGGCCCTGCGCGAGGTGGTCCGTCGCCCCCACCCGGCAGAGAACGGCATCCCGCACCACCACAGAGGCGGAGGAGGCCGGCACAAAACAACCCGCCTGCGCAAGTACAACCGATATACCAACACTACGCATAAAAGTGGATTTACCACCCATATTGGGACCTGTAATAATAAGGGCATTCGCATTATTGGTAAGATGTACCGTGTTAGGTGTGTAGCTAGGTTGACGAAGTTCAACAAGTGGGTGACGGACATCTATTAAGGTAAGAAGATTTCCACTACCATCCTCATTACTTCCATTACTTATTCCTTCCTCATTAGAAGGAGGATGAACAGTTGGTCGAACCATAGGTCGTGGTGAATCTTTTACCACTAATGCCCATGCTACAAAAACATCTAAGGCAGCAATTAACTCTTTAGCATCATCAAGAACAGGTAAATACGTCACAACCGTTTCTACAAGTTTCTGTTTAAGCTCCTGTTGACGAATATCATAATCTTTACGAATACCCCTATATTGTTCACTCAATAAAGATAAATGTTTTGATACAAAACGTACACCATCTTTAGATGTACTCACTGTAATAAGTTCTTTATTTGTTCGTACTTGTTGATCTTCTTTACGTGTTACACGAAAAACGTACCCATAAGATGAATGATACTCACATTTTAATTGTTTTTCTGTCCATTGATATTGTTTCATTGTACGTCTATGTTCTTCTTCAATAGTTTTAGAAAGTTTTTTTCTTTGTTCTTCCAATGTAATTAGATCATCATCAAACTCAGGATTTATACGAGCGATATTTTCATCTGAGAGATCTACAGTAGCATCTATAAGGGTACGTAAATTTGTGAGATGTTCATTAATATCCTCTAAAGGAGCAATATATTCATCCATAAGTAATTTACTATTGCGTCCTCCTTGATACATTCGAAGTACTTGTATTGCTTGAGGGATTGTATTAACAAAATTAAGAATAGATTGCATATCTTTTAAAGCAATAGTACGACGTTGAAGTTTTCGATTTAATCGATCCATATCACTACATCGTCGCAAAACTTGTAAAAGAAGTGTATCACGTAGAATAGGATTTTCCACCATTATTTCCACAAGAGTTAATCGTTGATTAATATCTTCAACATTGCGTAGTGGTTGTAGTAACCATTGTCGCATCATTCTTGATCCCATACCAGTGGCACAGCGATTTAACCATGAATAAACAGAAGTAGGAAGTGATCCTCGAGCTTCTGGTTTTTGATGAACAATATGTAAAGCTTGAATTGCGGCAGCATCCAATTTCATAAAAGTAGAAGGAATTGTATGTTTTAAATAAAAAGCATGATGATTTATAGAATCAAAAGGATCTAATACCAAAGGTAAAAGTTGTTCAAGCGCACGTGATGCCAATGGAGAATTAGAAAGGGCAAATCGATCTTCTGGTATACGAAGAATATCTCCAAGTACATTAAGCAAATTTCCTTTTACTATACCACTTTCATGTCTCATAGGTTGTTGTTTTTCTTGGTCTTTGGAGAAAAGTTCATTTCCTTCCCTATATAATTCACGGTAAGTGATATTCGCACGTTCACAAAGTTGTTTAACTGCTCGTGATGATTCTTCTCGTCCTTCAAGAACGGTATCTCCTCTTCCACCATTACTACTTCTACTATTACCACTACGGCTGATACAATAGACTAGCTCCTTTAGATTACATTGTGCCATCAGTGCATCAAGACTGTTTAGTTGCAGAGTATCAAGATATTCCGCATATGTTAACGTCCTCAGTGTTGTATTTACTGCAGCAAATCCCACACGAACACCTTGTCCTCCACTGTTAACATCTCGATTCTCAAGCACAAGTGCACCTGTAGCCATTAACTGAATTTCTGCATCCTCAAAAGAAAAAAGAGTTGCCTCAAAATCAGCAATATGACCAGGTGAACCTCTTTGTACACAAACATACGGTGTAGTACCAGGCGAGCGTTCATAATATTCCACAGAGACACCACGACGTAACAGACAATCTCGAATAACTTCCTTTGCAATAGTATCATTCACCGTAACGACATCCAATCCAGACCAATTCTTCAGTACAGCAGTGGATTTGATATACTCGCGAGCAATGAAGGTGGCCCAACTACCAAGCACATAACAACCTGGTGTAGAGGAGCCACGGGAAAAGAGGCGAACGCATGTCTTGTCATCACCACCTGCAGCAGTGAAGGCTTGCAGCACCGGTGTGTCTTTCTCATCACTCATTGTGCTTTTTTATCCGTTGCTCTTCAATTCTTTTTCTTTTTTCTTCCGTTTCTTCTTTTTTTTTTTTTTTAGGGTATCATAAACAATAAATATGATAAAGAGAGAGAAGAAATATATATATAATATATATAGACGGGTAGAAGCGATATAACAGGCGTGGGAGGACGGCTCAAAAATAATAATAATAATAAAAATAATAATAATAATAATAATAATAATAATAATAATAATAAAGGAAAAACACATATAAACACGTGTGTTACCACAAAACAAATTGAGACAAGGAAATAAGAACGCAAGTGTCAAGACATACACTGAAAAAAAAAAAGATAAGAAAAAAAAAAAAACATCATAGAAATTTCGTTCTCAACTATTATCCTAGTTATAGAAATAATACCACTACTTGTAATTAAAACGCACCGTTCAATTTGAAAAGAAAAAGCAAATTTTTTAATCATATGATAAAGCAAAACAAAAGGAAATAAGCAAATAAACATGAGAGATTAGTTATCATTGGGTCCATATTAACAACAAAAATAAATACCCCTAAAATCACACACACACACACACACACACACACATACAGTCACAAACGCTCCTCTCCTCTTTCTCTCTCTCTCTCTATGTAGTTCTCTTGTATCAGACAACCGATACACACATACGCCGGAATGTTGTGGTATTCATAGCCACAGTCTGGCACTGCATAGTCTCTAAGAGATCTGAAGGAACGCAAGAACCACTGAGCATCACACAATCCACATATGTTGTACACTGAAAAGGTTCACCTCTTTTTACCACTTCACATGAGGGAAGCCAAGAGGTGAAGGCACTATTTCTACTCACATTACTATTCTCATGCGTATTACTTGATATAGGCGGTGGGAGACGATGTGCAGAAGAGACTGCAATTACAATCATAGAGGTTAATGTACCAATAACATACAATGCCATAATAATTGCAGACCACCACGTTAGTTTCCCTCGTTTCGAGAAAGAACAGCAACCTTCATTCTCACTGTTCATCATTGCTTCTTCATCAATCACTATCATTTCCACTATTTCACCTTCTGTTGTGGGTTTCATCCCTGTTCTCACTGCAATGGGGTCCAACTCCATACTGTTACTGTTCTCCATTGCCACGTGCTTTTGTACATCACCCCCATCGTCAAGACTCATTTCTGCACTATCTATATGTTTTTTTCTTTTTTTGAATGTGTATGTGTACATATATATATCTCTCTGTGTCTGTTCGTCGGGAACTATTCTTCCCGTCTTTCTTAAACGGAGGATAAAAAAAAATAATAATAATAATAACAGGAAAAAGTGGCCAAAAGAAAAATTAGCCACAACTGAAGGAAAAAAAAAAGAAAAAGAAAATAAAGCATACATAACATATTTAAGAAATAAAAGAAACATGGATTACTATTTCTTTTTTTTTTCTTTTTTTGCTTTTTTAAGGAAATAAAGAGGTGTGTACCACTATTATTTGATGTAGATAAAGAGCAACTCTTTTCTTTCGTTTTTTTTTTTCTTTTACGTTAGAATAAAAATTCTTACTAGCGCACACCCAAGGTGGCATCATTACAACACAAACCGCATACAACATGACGACAACGACAGAGTGGCGGAACACACACACACACACAAAAAAAAAAAAAAGAATCTGTGAAACCACAGAAGTAAAGAAAAAAAGAAGAAAGAAAGAAAGAAATGAGAGGAGATTGCATAGATGCAAAAACTCTTCTTTCCTTTTTGTACCACCTTCTTTCTCCATCTTGCTAGAGACCAAATTCAGTATCACCACAGACAAACAAAAAAACAACAACAAAGGAATAAAGAGTTAAGAAAGCAAAACCAGAAGAAAGACGATAAAAAAAAAGATAAAATTAAACTAAAAAAAAATCTTTATTCTTCGTCTTTCTTCTCCCTCATACTTCCTCTCCCCCCATATATATATATATATATATATATTCCTCCTTCCTTTTCCCTTTTTCTTCTTCTCTCCTTCTCTAAAACTCCTCCTCCTCCTCTTCTGGTGCCTGTCCCTCACGCTCTGGCAGCTGCAGCCCAAAGCTGGGGGTGCGCACGACGGGGCTGAGGGTGGGGAGCACCATCGCCCCGCCCTCCGCGATGGGGTCGCCGCTGAGGATGAGGAGACTGAGCGCCATGCCGGCCGCGATGGACGGCAGCCACCAGTCGAGGCGCGAGACCATCCAATCGGCCGCGTGGTCGACGAGGTGGTGAACCCGCTGGTAAAAGTACATCCCCTCCCAGTTCACCTGCGGCGCCGGCGGGCGACCAAACATCATTATGTAAGTAAGTTAGAGGTCTTTGTTGTGTTTGTTGTTATTGTTGTTGTTGTTTTGCTTTGCCTCTCTCTCTTTTTTTTTTTATGGTTATAATTATTGTTATTATGGGATTCTTTTTTTTTTTTTTTTTATTGCTTCTTTTTTTTGTTATTGTTTTCCTTCCAAGAAAAACAAGAAAAAAAACACGTGAGAGACACCTTGGCAAAAAAAAGGAGTAAAGGTAAGATGAGAACAAAGAAAGAGAGAGAGAGAGACAGAGAGAGATAGAGAGAGGAGGAGGGATACAAGTAGTCATATACTCAAGAGGAATCACAAAATGTGAAGAATAATAATAGGCAGAATGCCTCCACAAGTAGCGCACACATTATTGGACCCAACAACATACACCCACAGACCCAAATCCCCATACCCGCATATTAACCAAGCAAAGTTAAAAGAAATAAATTATAGAAAAATAGATAAATAAATAGAGAGAGAGAGAGAGAGAAATTCTCTCGATTGTCTGTCTGTATGTTAGTTCTTGTTTAGAACCAATAGCAAGAAAAAAAAAAAAAAAAACTGAAATCCAAAAGTATTGAACTCTTTCTATTTCCCCTCTCTCAGATTGTTTTCTCTGCTACTGTAGAGAGAAGGTACTCATACAATTGTTTTGCAAATTGCACCACATCAAACTGATCGTTTTCAGATATTAAATCAAAAACAGAAGGTTCCCCTATAAGGGATATACCAACTATAAACTTTAGAGATGCATCACAAAGTGCAATTGCTATTATAGCATCAATAATCGCAGTAGATTTATCACCATTTGAGTTTACTACGCCACAAAGACACATGGTTGAATCTGTTTTCATGCAATTTTTGTATGAAGAGTTTTGATGTGCTCTCTGACGCATAAGCGCATGGGCCCAGGTGAGTTTCACTAAACTAGTCATCATACTAGTATCTGCCGATTGCGCACAGTTAGCTTTAGCACTTAGAAAAAAAGCGTGAAGCAGTGCAGCACATGCGGAAGAGAGTTGAGGAATAGAAGTTTCATTTATAGATGGAAATAGTGCCCATCTACACCATGTATTCCACTGACTTGTACACCGATTAACAAAATCAAACACAATACTATTATTTTCAGTCTCACCAACTATAGGGAACATTTGAAGTAATAAATCTGCCTGATTTTGAATAGGAAGAAATGAAGAAAAAGGGACAGATACGACTACATCTCCTCTTTCTACAAACTGAAATAGATGACGATTTTGTACAAGTTGTAATTCTTGAGTAATAGAAATAATAGAGCCTGTAGCTCTACAGATTACACGTTGTCCTCCTTCACGAATTACCACATGTTCATGTTCTTCTAGAACTCCTTGTACAGCTTGTATAGCTGATGAAGTAATTGTATGTAAGGAAGGAGCGAAAAGGAGTCTTTTATATGCTGCATTAAGTAATCCTCCACGTATCATTTCAATACGTTGTCCTGCTTCAACATTAATAGGAATAGATAATTGAGAAACATTCATCCTTGTATAGATAGGAAGTAATGTGTTTTCCATTCCATGTAAGAGAGGCAATACCAAATTCGTTTCAGTTCCCAGCTCTAATAAGAAAGTCTGTAAAACCGAAAGAGTATCAGAGGGGCCAACAACTGAAGTTGCAATAGTACCATCTGGTATAGTTGCAGATGTAAGCGTAATTCCAATAGCAGCCCAAAGTGCTGTCGGTAATACAAACACCTTTGCAGATGCAAAAAGTGCTTGTGGACGACATTTATCATCATCTTGCTTAAAACCACCAGTCGTTTTTGCTGAAGCAAATGCAGCAGCACCTGCTACACTTTCCCAAGAACATTTTGCTTGTAAAAGGGCAATCATCTCATCTTCTTCATTGTTAATAGAAAAACAATTTCCATTAATAAAAGAAGATGAACTCATAGCAGTCATATCAACTTTAGAAACACCTGGTACTACCTTTAATGGATCCTGAGACCACTGAGAAAGAAACTTAGTCGTACGAATAGCTCGGGTTTCCAAAACAAGTTGCGTTGAAGAAGAAGTATTATTATTATTATTATTATTATTATTATTATTATTATTATTATTACGTTTATTGTACAACATTGTACCAAACTCACCGGAAGCTATTTCTAAAAGACCCATGGCTTGAATTCGTTCACCTACTATTGCCGAAGCCTGTATATCAGACGAAGGTAAAAGAGAAAAATCTAGCCAAATTGTAGATTCTCTAGCTACTCCATCACGACTAGAAAGCAAAGGCTGTAATTCCACCATAGGTTCTGGTATATTAGATTCACGATGTAAAAAAAAGATTCCTGTTACTTGTCCTATTACTTCTACCCATTCTTCTGTTCCTATTACCAAGTCACTTGGTCGTTTAAGGGGAAAGTGTTGTGTATATAATATGAGAAAACTTGGCAAGGAAATTATGGCAACATTTACGTTTACTCTTATCATTCTTGAACGTAATGATTCCCAAAAACTCCATGGCCATTGAAGTGTCCATGGGCATATTGGACAACCACAATTATCATCTGGTCCACAGTGAACACTTGACAAGTATACCTTTGATACCATATGTCGACAACCACTAGAGAAACCGGTAAATTGCATTTCTTTTTCTATTCCTCCTACTTTTCTGGTTACTTCTGTTATTGCTTCTGCTTCTTCAAGAAGCCAATGCATTAAAACTCTAGTCAGAATTTCATCTATCTTTCTCGGGGAAAACATAAGAAGTGCACCCAAAGAAGGGTATTTGGAAGCCACTTCCATAACGTGTATCATTAGTCTTAATTTCAGCGGTCCACGAGACTCTGTGTAGTCTATTTGATTACCAGCACTCAACACCAATAGTGATAGTTCAGAAAACAATTGACCTCGCATGCTTTCATCTCTAAACAAGAGATGTTCTGCCTCTTCACTTTCTTGATAGGAAATAGTTGGCACTGACATTACTTCAGGTAGTCTAAAGACAAAGAAAATAAAATGTAGTTTTCACTACCTTAATACGAGTCTATAGGTCATGCCAAAAAAAAAAAAACAAAAATAAAAACGAGATGAGATATTAGATAACCATAGGAAAGGTATTTTAGCACTGGAGACCAAAAAAAAAATATATAAAAAATTAAACATTTTTTTTTTTTTTTCTTCACTTCTTTCTTTGTAAATTTATTATCTCGTTATAACGTTCAAAAAGAACAACAACAACAACAAACTGACACCACTCTCTTATTTTTTTTTCTTCCTTTCCGTATTACTTCAAGAAAGAGAAAGTTTATCTGGTATGCCATGCCAGCGGAGTTCATCTGCAAGTAGTTGACGAAATTTTCTCTCCTTTGCTACAAGTCTAAGACTTTTCGACCTTCCTTTTTCAGTACTAGTGGTGCCTAGAAGATTTATCTCATCATGTACACGAACGAGAACAAAATCTGTTAACTGAGCCACACGAGATGTCATATTATAGATTTGATGTCGCCCTGGAATCACATCACGGGTTGCATCCGAAGCATTTAACCGTGAGAGAACATCACATGATAGTGCAAGAGAATTTCCTACTGGCATTAAACAACTAGCATTAGTTTTTTCATTTGATCCATTGAATAATTGGTCCGTTATAGGTAACCGTACCCATGCTCTCCGTGCCGCATAAAACCAACCCAAGAGTTGCTGAAGATCCGCAGAGACCACTGAGTCTTCTAACAAAGGTAAACGTTGATGAAGTTCATACCTAAAAAAATTTTGTCCATCACGTAATTGCTGACGTTCACGCTCACTAAGTTCCGCTATTTCTCCTTGCGCCTCGCCGCTCCCGTTGCTGCAGTGACAGAGTTTATCCCACAATTCCTCCTTAACGCCCTGTTCCGCACATCGCAAGAGTGATGGGATGAGGTACGTCCACGTGCATGCGGCATGGCGGTACGCCTCTGATCCCGACGCGGGTGCGTCTCCCACGGCGTGCAGAAACAACTTCTTGTAGTGCAGTTGTCCACTCGCTGGCGCCGTGGCTTGACTGGAGTGCCGCAGTCCACGCAGCGGCCCAATCGCCCGCGTGCCGTGGCGCCACCCGCTGGGGTTCACGTACCGGAGATCGCCGCGGCCAACACCGCTGTGAACGTGACGGACAGCCGCCACCAGCGGGTGGTGTTGGCGTGGAAGAAGAAGGGGCGGAGGTGGGGGCATCCCCGCGGAGAGTACACACTGGAAAGAAGAAAAGTAGAGAGAAGAGAGAGGGTTTATATTTATTTTATTTTTTTTTTGAAAAAAAAAAAAAAAGGTAGAGTAGATAACATTAGCTGGTCGTAAAGGAAGGAAGGAAGGGTAAGGGTAAATATAGAGGTACGGAAGAAGCGACTGTCAAACCGATACACACTTGTAATGGTTAATAGAGAGAAGAACAATAGTAAAAAAAAAAAAAAAAGCGATTACGCATTGTCCATGTCCCATTTTTTATTCATTATAAAAAATGGGGAAACGAGTGAAAAGAAAAACAGAAAAAAAAATCATGAGCGAGAATATGTATTCCTCGCAAAGTCATCTTCACGACTTCGCTCTAAGCGATACCAGTAATGATCCTTTTGTTGTTGCTGGTCACGCGCCAATATTGTCCAATTACGTTCATTATTTCTTATACCCCAATGTGGTTCACGAACATACAATTGACCACTTGTCACTCTCATTGTTGTATTGCCAACCTTTTTCAAATTTTCCTTTTCTTCATCAATAATACGCTGAAGCTCTGCTCGCTTTTCCGAATCTTCTGTTGTACTGAGAAGCTTCTCCAATTCCTCAACTCGTCCCATCACCATCGCTACAGTACGCTTCTGCTCTTCTTCATCTACATTAAGAGAATCTTTACTATTTACCACAGGGACACCCACCTGGTGTGATACCCCTGACATCATCTTATCATCCTTCGCTTGACTCATAAACCCAGAATCATGCCGAAGTTCATACTCAAGATGATTGTTAACATTAGGAGAAGGAATACGATTCTTGTGTGTCACGTTGACTTCATAGAAAATGCTACCAGCAGCAGCAAGAAATACCACCCCAGTAGCCCGGTAAGGATGTTCTCGAACCCAACGTGTTGTACGGTAAAGCCAAGCGGATACCTCTTTACCTAAAAATGGAATTGGGACAACCTTTTCACGCATAATTCTACAATAAAACTGCTTTTTCCTCCCACACACACACACACACTACTTTCTCTCTGGGAGGAAAAAAGAAAATAACAACAAAAAATATGAAAATAAGGGTAATAAAACCAAGTTTAATACCCCCAAAAAAGTTTAAAAAGAAGAAAAAGAAGAAGAAGAAAAAAAAAAAACAGAATATGAATAAAATAAGATCCCAATAAGGACTAAGAAGAATAAGAAACAAAGAAATCTCCGTAAATTAATGTACAGAAAAGTAAAACAATTGCTGTTGGTATCATAGAGACCAAATGCACACACACACAGACAAAATGTAATATATATATATAATATATATATATATATATATATATATATATATATATATATTTTTTTTTTTTCTTTCTCTTTTATTTTCTTTTTCCCCATCACAAGTTTTATGAGTCTAAACTTGTTTCACAACGATCTTGTAATTTGTGTATTGTAGGTAGACCCATACCTTCACCGTTCAAAAACTGTTTCTTTTCTGATGCATTGAGGAACCTATACGATGGACGTATGCGACGTATTTCTCCGAGAAAAGCTTCCGTATTGCATGCCCCAGGAAGGTGATGATGTCTTCCTTGTGATAATGGAGCATCCCTTAAACATTTTTTTAATTCAATCGCTCGTCGAAGACGCAAGAAAAGACTTCTGTAGACAGCACAAGAGGAGGCTTCCGCTGATAATCCCATTCCTTCACATCGTCTGAGTTCATCTTCCATAAAACGAGTAGGAAGCCACAAAAATCTTACACCACGTAAAAGCATATCTGCAACTTTATCATCACACTGACAACTTGAAGTAGCTGATACCGCGGCAGCAGAATGTGGTACAAAAGATGTTAACCTTGAGGAAGGTAAAATCCCCATCAAATGATTATGATGGTAAACTTCACATGCAGCGAAAGCGATTCGATACGCCGGAATTTCTGATGGAAATTGCGTTCGCTCCAGTACTTGTTGATAAACAGGAAGAGGAACTCTTCCTAATTTTTTGTACACCTCATTATCTTTTTTAAAACCAAGAGTAGGTGTTATTGTTTGATGACGTTTTCCTCCTGAGGCGGCGTACTCTTCATTAAGGCGTTTCACCAATAAATTGGTGTATTGTTCCAATAAATCACGACTTGTTGTACCCATAGCTTCTGCAAGAAGTTCTTCACCAAATGAATTAGGTAATTGCTCACGGCAGTGCCAACACTTTGCAGGTTGAAGATTGTAAAAAGTCGTTAAAAGTTGTACAAGATCCACTACACCATCCTTTGAATTCTCTACTGATGAATCTCTAGGATAATTCGTTTTTTCATTTTTTCTGCCTTTACTAGAAGCAGATTTTTCTTGATTCAATGTTAAATTTTGTTCTTTTTCTTCCGTTTTTTCCCCCTTTGAAGATGATGATGTCGTTGTCCCTGATGTTGTGGGATGTGCGAGTATACGTTGTAGTGACTTACTGATCGCATCAATCTTTGATTGCTGAGAGAGCAACAGACGTTTCATCTCTCCTTCTTCTCTAGATTGGGATTGCGGTTTCAGTGAAGGGGAGGTATCAGAAGAAGACTTATACGGAGCAACACGAGTAACAAGTTCACGTCTCAGATGTTCTACCTGATCTTGAAGTGCCATTAATTCATGAAACGTTTTATTGCCACTCACTATACTCACAGTAGGACGTTGTCCCTCAGCGGTAGGTTCATGGTAAGAAGAATTGACTGCCTCATCATACGGTGGAGGCAAACCACAATTATAAGCAGGTGGTGCACGTCCTGCAGTGTTAACAACAAAAGTGGAATCACCAGCCGGAAACAGAGAACTATACGGCGGCGGCGGCGGCGGTGGTGGTGGCGGTGGCGGTGGCGGCGGTGGTGGTGCTGCGGGTGCCGAAGATGGTGGTATCTGCATAGATACTAGTGAAAAAAGAATAACGTGAAGATGACCTAATACGGTGACTTTCTCCTGTTGCACAATTTTCTACGATCCGTAGTTAATATTATACAAATAAGGCAACAAGAAAAAGAACAAGTAATAGCACTACAAATAATAATAACAACAACAACAACAACAACAACAAAAAAAAAAAAAAAACTCATTTAAAATTTACAGTTTATCATCAATTCTCGAAGAACGAAAAAGAAAAAAAAAAAAACAACGAAGAAGACATACATCGTTCAAGTTCCAGTATAACGTACATAATCATGTCACTACTTGTCCCACCACTGATCACAAGGGTGGTTCCGTTTGCCTATATTTCCCCAACCGACTCCACTGTTTTTGTGGGTTCTTCCTCCTGTGCAGCTGTTTCTGTGGGTTCTTCCTCCTGTGCAGCTGTTTTTGTGGGTTCCTCCTCCTGTGCGGCTGTTTCTTCAATCTTCGTTTCTGTGGGTTTTGTCTCTGCGTTATTTCCAGTGTGTACTTCTTCAGAGATTTGTTCCGTATCCAAAGCATTCTCCCCTACTAGTTGAGCGACTGTTAAGGGAATAAGTTTGCCAACCTGCTCAAGTATATCAAGCCAGCTATTTTCCTCATCTTTTTTAAGTCTACATCGCATTTTGCTTTCATCATCTATTACACCAATCAAAATTTTTCCGTTGTAAAATGCTTCTTTCAATTGACGATAAGCCTGACGTTCATCAATCAATTGTTCCATATAGCTAAAATAGTGTTGTGATTCCAGGGAGTTTCGTTCTTCTACATTCCGTTTATATTGACGCTCAACAAGCAATCGACGTTCAGCCAAACGCATATCCCGTATAAGACGCTCTTTTGATTCTTCCCGTTCTTTCCACTGTTTCATTAAATCTTCTCGTCGTCTTGCTCCCAAAGTTTCAGGTTTGGCCTCCTCTGTAGCCTCGAGTGCCTTATCTACATCTGGAATGAGAGAATCAAGCATACGTGAGATGCGACGCAGGGTTCGCTCACGCTCTGCAACCTCCCTTTCTCTAACACGACTTTCCACCTTTTCGTCAAGAGAACTTTTTTGTTGGGAGTGTTCACGTTCAGTAGCAACTTGTTGTAGGCGGGTAGCACGCCACAAACGCGTTCGTTCATCTATTGCAGCAATTTCTTCTTCAATTGAGGGAGTGTCATTAACAATATGTCGTTGACTAAAGAGAACAGAGTTCAGTACGGGACGACCTGCATCTGGAAGTAAATGGGTGGTTTCTGCGTAAAATGTCACATCATGTAAAGCATCACTCACTAAAAGTCCATTGGCAGCATCTTCCGCTGCAGCAATACCTGGATAGGTCGCTGGTCCCATGGGTTGTCGTACACGTGAGAGTGGAAAGTAGTCCGGTTTGGCAGGTTTTGGTGTAGTGGGTTTGGTTGGATGCAAAGGTATTTGCACGTCATTCTCAGCAGCTGGTTCTACCGCTGCTGAGGAAGGGGAGGAAATCATTTTTCTCTTGTTGACCCTTTTTTTTTTATTTATTTTATTATTGTTCTTTATTATTATTATTATTATTATTATTATTATTATTATTATTTGGGGGTGGCAACGTGTACGTATGTATGTAAAAGATAGAAGTAATATACAAAGAAGAGAAATAATAAAAAGTGAGAAAATAATATAAAACGAAGGAAAAAAAAAAAAAAAACACAGACGCAAGCAAAAAAAAAAAAATAGGTAGATATAAAGAAATAAAGAAACACAAGAACTAGTATAACCCAAATAGAATGTACGTTTACTGAAGCAAAGATTAATTTTATTCTTCTTTTTCCTTCACGCTGTCCACTGTATTTATGGGTTCTGTGCCTTCTTGTGAAGCATTTTCAAGGTTAGGATGAAAACGAGGGGTTAACGTTACCACCGGTTCATGCGGATGAACTCCATATGTAAGAATGAACACATCTGGATAACGCTGCAGATAAGATAAAATGCCACCAGAGTGACGCGGTAAAATTGCGCGTCGCAATTCAGTGGTCATAAATTTTGGTAAATGTGAAGGAAGCAATTTTCTCGATTTACACACCTCTAGTCTTGACGCTACGAGGGAAACCATAAACCGAAGTTGCTCATCAGGGTCAACAAGTAGTTGTTCTTCATACCTAGTCTGATATTGTGAAGTTCCTGTCATTACATTCTTTTTTTCTTGACTTTCTATATCTTGTTCTTGTTGTTTTCGCTGCTTTTTATTATTGTTTTCATTCATGTGGGACTCTCCTTCATTTTCTTCACTTACCACGTCTACTCGTTGTATGAATAATTCTGGAGGATGTTCCACTAAACGAAATAGATGTGGATATTGTTTTAACCAAGAACGAACTCTAGCGTCCGTAATACGTTGAACATCATCTGGAAGTAATTTTGGTAAATGTCCTGTAAGAATAAGTTGATTATCTAATGGCAAAAGATCAAAGATATAATATGCGAGAACATCCGGATGGCACAATGGTGAAACACCAATTTCATGAAGTGCAATACATCGATGTAGCAAACGTTTCTTATCAATGTAACGTACACGTATATGATTAGCAATATTTTTTGGTTTTTTAGGACTTGTATTCTTTAATTCAGAAAGTTCCTCCTGTAATTCTGAAAGAGTTTTTTCACGATATAGGGATGGAAGGTAACGCCTCTCATCAAGCCAAAATCGTACACCCACTACGCGAGTAGAGTCTAAAGGATCATATTCAAAATCAAAAATAGAACATCCATGACTCTTTACTCCTTGTTCAATGTTTGTTTTACTTTCCTCTCCTGCTATAGCTAGTACTGCTGCTAGTGGTTGTGTTAACCAATCACCAGCAATATCTTGCAGTTCTGGAAACTGAATAAAAGTTTTCGTATTTAATGCACGGCATAAACGATACACATTATAGTCTTCAATAATACCATTACAATCATCTGGGATTTTTTCCTTCTCTACTACACTACACATTACGGGACGAGTAATAAAACGTGTGTAGAGGGTACTCCTAGTAGTCACAGCACTTGGAGGTTTTACACAAGAAACTTTTTCATCCATATTCGTTCCATTTTTTAACCTTTTCTTAACAATCTCATGTCGAAGTTGATTCAGAACATTATCAAACTGTTCTGTATCTTTTATGCGAACCCATCGAAAAGCCTGAAGTTTGCTTTTCCCATGCTTTTCCTCAGTTTGTTGCTCTTCAACAGTTCCTTTCTCCTCCTCCTTTCCAGTTGTTGTTAGTGATTCATCCATGATGTGTTCTTCTGTTAGTAACCACACTTGTATACTTTTTACTGGAAATAAGCGTTCACGTACAAAGAGATTTGCCTTTTCAAGAAATTCTTCTTCTAATATTCTCTTTTCTTCTTTATCAGAAACATTTTTACTATCAACAGCGCCAAGAGAGTCAAAAGCCTTCATTATACTCTCTAAAGTAAAGAAACGATTAGGTAGGGGAAAACAGATGTGTGGGATCTGATATTCAGGCTGCTCTTTTATACATTTTTTTTTTGGTTTTATTCTGCGTTGAAGAGATCCTCCTTTAGTAAGTTCAACGTTTAAAAGACCATTTGATGTACGAAAGAGTCGATACCTATTTGGGAAACGTTCCAGGTGATTTTTTAAACCGTTATCAAGCTTTTCAATTACTTCATCTGGGAGTAACTTCGCTAATTTCACCAATGGTATGGAGGAAAAGGGAGGTAAAAAGGAAAATACAGGATCTTCATCCGTATGGGAATCTATGGTTATATTTTCATCCCGTAATGAAGAATTGGGGGATAAAGAGTGCATCAAACAACGTTTAGAATATAATGGCGTTGACCATACAAAACAATTCATACTGCTCGATAGAGAAACATTTCTGCGACTACGAATTGGAGGAGCTAAAGGTAACCATAATAAAGGTTTCATACTTCGGATGCATGATTCCCATCTCACTACCATTTCTTATATGTATACTCTATAGTTTCCAACACAAACACAGACTCTCTCGCAGAGAGACAGAGAATAAGATATAAAAATAAAAAAGGATAAGAATACAAGTCACTTCCACTAACTACGTCTTGTTTTACCCCACTGGGCAGCGAAGAACCACCCACTGTTCTTCCAACCCCTCCAGTTAAAAGAAAAAGCCTTGAAGAAAAAAAAAAGAGAAAACAAACAAACAAACAAAAAAAAAAAGATAATTAGCACAAACAAAATAAACCCATTTATAAAAAGAGAATACCAATTAAAAGAATTGTAACCATACATACGCACACTCTCTCAAAAAAAAAAAAAAAAAAAAACACAATATACGAAAAAAAAAAAATGAAAACTATGTCAATCAAACTTCACTATTTCTCTTCATTAATAGACTTTACGTACTTTTTATACTGATCTATAACCCATTTTGTGCGTTCTTTTACATTTACAATGGGACTAGGGTACTTTATATCATCCAACATCTTTCCACATAACTTTGACCTTTCTGATACTTTTTTTTTCCCATCTGTACTATCCTTAAGAGTTAATTGTTTATGTTCTCCACCTTTTCGATGTTTTTCACAGTAGACATCCCACTCATGAATAATTTTCGCAGGTACATCACGAAGTTCCGGTATCCATTTCTTAATAAAAACTGCATTTGGGTCATGTTGAGCTGATTGACGAAAGGGATTGAAGGTACGAAAGTACGGTTGAGCATCAGCTCCTTGACCGGATGACCACAACCATCCTCCATTGTTGTTAGGAACATCATAATCCACTCCCACAGTAGAATACCACCGTTCTCCTTCTCGCCAATCTACAAAAAGAATTTTCACAAGGAAATTAGAAATGATCATACGACAACGGTTATGACACCAACCAGTCTGCATTAAACAACGAACAGAAGCGTCTACTAAAGGAACACCTGTTTGACCTTCTTTAAAAGCAGTAAATGCATTATCATCCCATGACCAAGGAAAATTAATATATTTTGTATCAAGAGGTTGATTTACACAATCTACATCTTGTTTCCCTTGAGTTTGTATCGTCTTTATTTGTCCCTGTACAAGTTGAGGATAATGAAAAATTAGCATGGCATAAAATTCTCTCCAAATTAACTGTCGGGTAAAGCCATGTTCTTTTCCTAAATTTTCTACTGCTATTTTCATCGCTTCCCGTATAGAAACAGTACCAAACTTTAAATGTGGACTTAAATGAGTTGTACAATCACCGGGAATATCATCTCTTTCAAGAATATAGTTTATCGCATCTGCGATACGTGCAAGTCGTGATAAACCTTCATCTCTCCCACCCTTATCTGTAAGATTAGGAAAAACCGAGGATAAAGAACTAAGGTCAACATCTCTAACAAAACACTTTTTCCCAGAATCTCCAACTTTCTGTGCCAATCTTGGTTTAGCATTCCGTATATCATCTTTTGCCGTTGAACTAACAAACCAATCTTCAATTACTACGGGTGTAGAATCCGGTAAAGAAATCTTATTAAAATAATGAAAAAGAATTTTTCTATAAAATGGTGTAAAAACGCGGTACGGTTTCCCAGCATCTGTAAGAACGGTATTTAACTCAAAAAGAGTATAGTCAGCATCACTTGTTACACATTCTATACCTTTAGATTGACACCATTTTTCGAGTTTAGCATCTCGCTCTCGTGCAAATGGAGTAACATCACGATTAAATCCCAGATATTTAATATCGTAACCAGCTGAAAGAACAGTCTCAAGACAATCAGAGTCACTACCGTAGAGACATACCAATCGTCCTTCAAGTTGTACATCATTTAAATGACGCAAAGAGCGACACATGAACTCAAAACACGCTTTACCAAAGTACGCGTTCCTCTCCGGGTCACACTGCACAGGGTTGAAGAAGAAGAGCGGGAGGATGCCCAGTGACTGATTGGACACCCGTCTGCGTAAAAGTGACAGGCCTGTGTTGTCAACGAGGCGAAAATCCCTGCGGAAGAGAAAGGCCGCAACCTGCAGTGGGTTTGAAGAAGAGCGACCTCGTTTTACCATTTCCGTACGGTCGTCCTTAGAATTTCCCTCCAATCCAAGACTACATTCTCATCAACACAAAAGAAAAAAGAGAAAAAAGAGGATTGGGTGAAGGATATATAAAAAAAAAACGAAAAAAAAAAAAAAACTGTGATTCTGGAAGGCCGTCCATAACCCACACACGCACTTAATTCTCCTCACCATATATTCTGTAGTGCCGCAGCATGAGCACAACAACGAAAAAAGAAAAGAAGTGCCAGCCAAAAAACAACAACAACAACAACAACAACAAAGAATCCAAAGCAAGATTACCTAAGAATTAAATTACCCACGAAAAGGCACTCGGACGAGTAGAATCCAATTATAACAATGTTTTTTTTTTTTTTTGTTTGGAAATAAAAGTAAAGTGAATGGTAAAAACAGTGAATCATTCAAGACCCTTTAGATTCTTAGCATAACGCAGAAGCTCACGGTCTTCATACAGACGTCTACGAAGAGTGTCATTGGAGTAAATGAGGTTTGCGAACCGGTGGTCGTGACGACACCTATGGAAACCATGTACACTCATCGTCCATCGACTCCGTACACAATCCTCCTGTTTACTAGATGACCAGTAGTATTGTACTTTCAGCATTTCGTAGGTGGGTTGCAGGATACGTAATGCAGTAGGGATGGCACACTCCATTTGTATGAAGTACTTTGCCATGTTGTCGGTAACATCTACAAATCCAGTCACCAGCTTTCGTGGGACATAGTACGCGTCAACAATGGTATAGAACATTACACCATTAGCATGAAGAGAAAGATTTCGTAACTTTACGGGATAATGCGACTCTGAATAGATTTTGCGAGACGTTGCCTCTGCGGCTGCCCTCAGTGCATTCTCGTAGGGTTCACCACCTTTCCGAATTACATTGTACATTCGCTCTCTACTCTTACGAAAGTATGGCCATCGCAAATAGCGAAATTGCTTCTCCACTGACATTCCAGATACTGGTAAAACCCAGGCATTGGATTTAACATTGGCAATCCCCATCATACTTGCCCATGTGCTACTCTTGTTAAGCCGAGACGCAGCAATAGCCCAAGGACTTAGCAACAAGTCATCAGCATTGAAGAGAAAACCTTCAAAAGGAAAACTTGTCTTATTCCCATCATCACCACCCCTACGGAGCTTCGCAGTGCGTGTAATATTCTCAACAATACGCGATGCAGCAAGATATTGCATATTGCCAAAGACAACATTGTAGCCGTCGATCCGTATTCCATCTACAGTTGTACTCACAGAAGAGCAAAAAGTCATATAACGGAAAAAGATACGGTAGTGTTGCCAAACGTCATACGCAAGCTCAAATCTTTTGGGAGAGAATATCACAATGAGTAGGATATTCTTGAAAAACTCATAGGTTTCCTTGGCACTAAGAACAGCGGACTTAGGCAGCTTATCGGAAGATGCATCAGTAGCAGCACGTGGCATCGCATTGACGATCACCTGACGATAGATGGGGTGATAGGTGACTCTCTCGAGTTGCCTGGCACGGTGACGGGAACTGCGATTGACCTGCACAGTATCCAGTTGAGAAGAAACAGCAAAAGCAGCAGAAGCAATAGGTGGATTATTCCCTCGCGACTTCAGTTGCACAGGTGTTGGCGATGTATCCAAGGTGATGGAGAGCACAAGAAATAGAATTGTGAGAGCGCCTAGCAGCACAACCAGCCGGCGTAACCATTTCCTTGAGAGAGTCATAGACTCCCTGTCTTCCTTTGCTGTGCACACAGACAAGGGAAGGGAGAAAAATGCACAGAAACAGATTAGCTATGCCCGAAGGATCCAAAAGGGAGAGGTTTTCCTACATCAATCGAAATAATTTTCATCTTCTTTTGTTTCACACATCAATATTTAGGGTAGATTTTCTTCATTCTCGTTGAAGATGTGAGTAGAATGATGTGTCGTACTTGCTTTGATACCGACACGAATCACATCTACAGGATAGCAAGTATCTTCGTCGCAAAGATGACAGCTAAGGGCTTTCTCAACAACCTGCCAATTAGTTTTATTTACCGAAAGAGAACTAGTTGAAACTGTTCCCTTTGTTTTTGTGTATTGTTGTTTCTTTTTCCTTTGGGAGGTTGTTAAAGAGCAGCCAGGAACGTGTGTCGGAGAACCACTTAAAAATGGTAAAAGAGTATCAAGCTTTGAGAGTGCACATACAAAAAAGCTCATATTAGCCTTCTTCTCAACAGATGTAGTTATCTCTTCTATTACCTTCTCTTTACTGGAATTATAATGCAGTGTTTGAGCTTCAGTATTGCCCAAGTAGTGCTGTATCAGTTCCCATCCTGTTTGTTCCCATACCCAGGCATACGCCAGACGGCAACCAAAACGCATCGAAAAGAATGGTTCTGATGTAATTATTCCAATGTGTGTTAGTATTGCAGGTATTCCCTTATTTAGAAGGAGCAACGCACTCCCACTACATTGATGCTTTCGACCCCCTTTCATTACAAATTTAATTAAAACACGTTGATGTGCATTAGATGGTGAACAAAGCAGCCTGGCTCTTCGAGAATTCTTAAAGGACGGGTTACTACCACCAATATCAGTAAATGCTGGACATCCAATAAGGCGCAGTAATGCTTCTCTTTCATCTTCACCAATAATTCGTACCGATTGTGTATATCCTAATTTTTTACAGTTTGCAAAAAACAAATCAGTTTTGTCATCGCTAAGAGATTTTTTCCTACAGGAACTAGTTTTACTAGTCGTGGTAGTCGTAGTACTACTACTACTTCTACTACTACTGGCTATATTCACGGTAGAGAGGGAGGCGAAAATATGCCTAGAAAGCTGAAAGTGACGCTTACGAGTTTCTCTTAAAGAGGTTAGTTCAACACGGCACTTTTTATTACAGCGTGGAGAAGGAGTAGGAAGATTAGATAATACGAGAATCGTCATAGCGCACTGATGTATAGGAAATACAGTGTAATTCACAGTTTCAATATTTGGTGCAAGTGAAGGAAATACAAAGATAGATGTTGTTTTTGTTATTGGCAACAATAACGGCGTAATTATTTTTTCTCCTTTACTTTGAGTATGTGAGATACTTTGGGCACTAGTAAGCCATTTCATTACAGCAGCATCTACACGACGTTGTACCCATTTCAAAACTAATGACTCATTATTATCATCTTGTAAAATTTTATTATTCTCCTGTGCACGTACAGCATCTGCACAACACCATACTTCAAACACAGAGCAAATAGCCTTTGATATTCCACAAGGATTCCAATGTGAAACAAGTTGAATATTAAATTGACGACGTGCACGAGAACAAATATATACTGGTGCTGAAGCTATTAAGTAATACCTCATTCCACTATCAAGAATACTCTGTACAAGTACAACAGGAACAATAAGTGCTTCATTTTCAGAGACATCGGATCTATCATGTAACATTGTTGTTGTGTAAACATCATCCTTCTCTAAATGAGATGCGAACCACATATGACCATAGAAAACATTATTGTTTCCTCTTTTCCATGTTTTGTGTGGTAAAAATGAAGTCTGGGCTTCTTTAAAAAGAGATTTTGTGTTTAATGCAACAGAAGGAGTTCCGTTTGTACGCATCATTAAAGCATCCATCACGGAAGTTGCAGAAATGTTAGAATCTGTTCCCAAAGACTCAATCATCCATACACATAAGTGAGAACGTTCAGTGAGAAAACACATGGGTGGTGGAATAGCTGTTGGTTTACATACAGGTCGTCGAAGAGGGTTTAAACTTGACTGAACTGTCGGTAATCTTGCAGCCCATCGTTGCAAAACACGATGTTGTTTTCGTTGGCTCTTAACAGGTACCGCAATTCGTATAGTGACAGGGTGAGGAATATTATCAATAGATGCTGCACACCCGTCAATGCGTCTCTTAACCACTCGATAATGAAATCTACGGCAGAGTTGCTGATGTGATGGTAGCCACAAAACTACAGTTCGTCTCTTTCTAGTTAATAGATTTCTCCAATCGTCTGAAGTATCACTAGCAATAACACTACTTGTATTATTAGAAACTACATTACAGTTACATAATGGGTATTGTAACTTTCCAAAACGAAGTTCTAGAAGCCGCCGTCTATTCCGACGACATGCGGTCGGTCGTCGCCTCCATGCAAGTCGTCGTCGTCGTCTCAGTAATAAACACCATTGCGGATATGTTAAGAAACGTTTTTTCTTTATACCTACACTTTCCTTTCCACTCTCCATAGAAGAAGACGTCAATTCCTCATCCGCCGTCAGTCGCGTAAACCGCCGCACACGTTTCAGACGTGTTCTTGCAGATCGCACCACATCTAAGAGTGGAATATTCGCTGAAGAGGGACGGCGGTAGCGTAGGACAGTTCGCTCCCCTGCAGAAGAGATATCACTATTCCCATCTGTGCGGGGTCGCTTTCGAAACAGTAAGTTTGAGAAGAGGGCTACCTCCTTTACACGATTATTTAATAATTCTGCAACATTCATTATTTTTTTTTTTTTCGTTGTTGTTGTTGCTCTTTAGTTTATCGATTTTTTTTTTCTTTTACGTTGTGTGTGTGTGTGTGTTTATTTTCTTTAATATTGTACTAATGTTGACTTGTGGGCAAACTATCAAATTCTACAAGTTAAAACAATAATAATAATAATAATAATAATAATAATAATAGAGGGAGATATGAAGCACTTAATGGTTGTCTTCTCTCTTTCTCTCTCACCTCTCAGGTGTGTTTCTCTTTTTCCTTGTACCTTGCCTTCAAAAAGAAAAGAAAAAAAAAAAAAGAAACTAGGGAAAGAAGAAAAGAAGAAATAAAAATTCCCTTCATCCAAAATAATAATAATAATAATAATAATAATAATAATAAATGTTCTTTAATGTATTGAATGCGTCCAGGTATCGTTTTGTCACTAAACTAAGGGTATATAAGTATAAATAAGTGTGTATGCCTGTTATTCCCATCTATGCATATATGAATGCATCTATGTTAGGGATGGCAACCCGTGCAACTCCCACTCCTGTAATTCTTTCACCATCTCCATATGTTTTGGAGTCGCTAGAAACTTACCGGCAGTCGTCACAATGTATTCTGTGGACAACAATGCCAATTTTTCTTCAAAATGAGTCTTCACATTCTGCAGGCAACATTTTTCTTTTTCTTCTTGTTCTTGCTTTAATAGCATTGAGTCCTCCTTTGCCATTTGTCTTTCTTTCTCTAACATGGCGTGTTTGGTGTAGAGGAGACAACGCCGCAGTCCATCCGCTCCAATCGCTTCGAGTTTATCCGCATCACTTACAACATCACGAACAATCAACCACTCCGCAGGCAAAAGATCTTCAAACCAACGTCTGCCACGACTCTTCTCCTTCGAGAAAGAAATGGCTTCTATGGCCGTAAGAGTATACTGTTGAACTTCCTCTGCAGTCATCACACTTGTTGATGTTGTTGTTGTTGTTGTTGTTGTTGATGATGATGATGAGAGTAGAGCCGTTGCTTCTTCCCCAACAAACTGTCGAACGCGCTGCTGCAGTACATTTGTTGAGTCATATTTATGATCCGCTACATCGTGCAGCATAGCGACTAGTATCACACGTGGGATCAACACAGTGAGATTGACTGCAGTGCCGTGTTGCATGTGAAGAAGAAGAAGTGCATTCTCTGTTACTTTCTCCATGTGCGCCAGACCGTGTGAGGCATCACGATCAGCACACACCTCCGCTACAAATGTACGGCAGCGTGTCCACAACTCATAATGATTCGTCTCCATTCCGAAGACTTTTCTTTCTTTCTTTTTTTTTTTTTTTTGTTCTTGATAGTCATGATTGTTGTTTAACATTTCAAAAAAAAAAAAAAAAAAAAAAAACCCAGGGGGGTAATCAAAAGATTGAGAGAAGAGAAGAAATAAAAATAGAAAGAAAAAATGATGAAAAGGCATTAAAAAAACGAAAAGAAAGAAATGTTAAGAGAAGACTCTGTGATAGCTTTCCTGTTGTACGTAATTGATAATGACTCGATCCAGAGAAGCAAAAAAAAAAAAAAAAAAACATACAGAAATCGTCATCTCTACACCCAACCCCTCTCCCCCCACTTCCCAAGTACACACAGACACACACGCACACACGTATTCTCTTTATCGTTTTTTTCTTTTCTTTTTCATTTTGTTTCCTTCCTTTAGTAAAGGGTATTCTTTTCCAGAACACAAGTATAGAGATATTTACATTATCCAGTACATAAAACATTTTCATTTTCATTTCCCTCCTCCTCTTCCTCCTCCCCCTGCACCGCATCACACATAAGAGAAAGCATACTGAGTTGGCGTACTCCATTAATACCACACACCTTCAGTTCCTCGGAATAACGTGAGAGAAAACTTTGCACAAATCCACATTCATCATCGTTGTGATTCTTTTCATCCGTTTGCATATACCGCCACGCGGATCGTACATAATGTTCTTGAAAAGAACGCACTATACACTCACGAATAACTGGATCCTGTACAAACGGTAAACGAACCGTTTCCGCCTCCTCACGCACAGCACCACAACACTCATCCACATGTCCAGCCGCATCTATTCCTTCCACGTCTGTTGTAAGAATCAAATGTCGACTGCGAGCAAGACAGTAATGTATGCGAATTCCTGTTAACAACGGATGGTTCTTCGGCAGTAATAAAACTTCCAAATCTTCAAGAAGTTCTTCACAGAGTTGAACCAGTTGAGCCGTATCACGTGGTGTGATGTTGGCGTTTAGTGAAATCGCTAAACACCCCATTCGAGCTTTTAAACGGTAATGATGCGTTGATGGAAGTCCATGCGCAAAGGAGTCAAGATCCAATAACTTTCGCATGACTCTCTGAGCACGTTGTGCATATTCTTCTTTTTCTTCTTCTATTTCTTCTTTTTCCATCCTTCTTTCTTCCTTGTCCATTTCATTTCCATTGTTTTGTACGTTAACGTCGCTTCCCCCCTGTACTGTGTCAGAGTTAACATCACTCTTTCTGCCTAAAAGTTCAAGATGAATACTATCTAGTGCTTGTTTAAATCCGTGTGTTATTTGATTCACCAATTCTTTATCTCCAGTAATGTTCTCTGAATTTAAACAATCAGTCGCATGAGTATAGAGACCCAGAGGTTTTTTAGAAATATTGATTGCCTCAGGGTCAAAATATAAATTAGATGTTCGTGATACATCCTTCTTCTTATAACTGTAGATGGAAGTAGATTTTTTCCTCTTTCCATTATAGTTAAATTCATCATCATCATTATTATTATCATTGTAAATAAGTCTTCGACACGAAGGACACACAATAGCTTCTAGCAACATACTGCGAGTCTTACAAAAATAACATCGACATTGAAACTTATTATAAACTTCCTTCACAGACTTTGGAACTAGGAGTGATGGAAGATATGTGATGGTAATTTCCTCACCAGCTTTAATATCACGAAGAGTGACAACGTACATGGTTTCCATACTCTTAGGAGAAGACTCAGTTTTTTTATCCTCTTCTTCCTCTTCTTCCTCCTCTTCCTTGAAAAGGATCATTGCATTAGGACTACAACTATGATTAATAAGGGAAGCAACAGCATATAAAGCTTTCATCCCTTGTCGATGCTTTCCTTGCATAGCGGGATGTATCCTAAAATCCTCCATAGGTCGCCATGTCATCGCATATTCATCCCAACAACGTACAAGACTCGCAACATCACTCTCAAACCCATAATTTGTGCCTTTATGACTACTACTACTACTATTACTATTACTATTATTATCACTCTTAGTACTATTACTAGTAGTAGTACTTTGAACTGAGGGTGTAAGAGCTAGTAGATGCAGTGCTGCCCACACATCCGCTGTGCGAGTGGGATGTCCAAAGAGAGCACCACTTTGAAGTGCCGCCACTACATGTGATGCAGTCGCATCCCCTCTGTGCGAGAGACCACCACGTTGAAGCAACTCTAGTGCCTCTCCTGTTATAGTAGAGAGTTCAGTATTTCCTTTTTCAGAAGTGTCGGGAGATATTTGTGTTTGTGATGGATTAACAGAAAGTAGTGGTCGCTCGTGTAGAATTACCGTTCCTGCAGGAATATCTCCAGTAGCAATAAGTCCAACACCATGCACAACACGCCAAGTATTTTGAGATGGTTCAACTAAAGGGTAAAGGAAAAAATCCCTATTGCTACTACTATTACTACAAGAAGAAGAAGAAGTAGTAGTAGTAGTAGTAGTAGTAGTTGTTGTTGTTGTTACTGTTGCTACGGAATCCCCAGAATCACCAAATAATGCCCATCGAATACGTCGTCGTAGATTTTCACATGGTGTCTCAAATTGTGCTGATGCTATTTGCACAGCAGTCATTGCAGTAATAAGACACTTCCATGCGAGTGATAAACCCTCACGTGAAACCCAGATCATCTCAAGACTGGGGTAATTCATACTGCTAGAATATTTCGATTCTTTTTCTCTATCCACTGAAAAAGGTAGAAACACACTTTTTACAATAGAAAGACAAGCAATAAGGTGTGCTTGATGTAGTAAAGCAGTAGCTTTCTCTTTATATAGTTGTTTCAATACACTTATTCCCACAGGGATACGATGAATGAATAATTCGGATGCTTTACGAAGGGCATCCAAAAATTTTGCAACCACTTTTAATTCAGAACAATAAAGAATAGGAAGAATAGAAGAAGAGTTTGCCTCGGACTCATCAGTCGCTGTGTTAACGAGAATATCACGAAAGAGTTTCCATGCTGTTCCTGTTGTTGCAACGTCCGCTGTGGGTGCATTTAAATCACTCACTACATCAGGTCTCCACCACCACTCCGTTACAGCTGTAACACTCTGCGAAGTACGGCGAGACCATATTAATTCTTCACTTGGTAGAAGTGTGAGATGCGCCTCACACCAGCGCCAACACTCTTCTGCTATTGCCGTATGATCCCACCAAAGACACAGTGCCTCTCTCTGTTCTTTTCGGTTATTTTCATTATTGGTTAAGGATGTGGATAATACATCACGACAGATTGTACTTATTAGTTTATTGACATCAGTGCGGTGAACACATGACTGGAGAATACGCAGTACCATCAATACCAACAGATCCTGCAGGCGACGGTGTTGAGAAGGGACTCCCATTTCGTCTTCTTCATATTGTGTTTTCTCTAGTTGTGTGAGAAGAACTAAACCATCTGAGGCCAGTTTGGCAATATCTATCGGCTGCTGTGTCTTTGTGTCTCCAGAGTTAACACCAGCAGAGTGGCATTCGGCAAGCTGCTTCTCCCACAGCCGCAAAATATCCTCACTCATCTGCGACATCAACACTGTGACAGTCACAAGGACAAACCCAGTAAAAAAAAATAAATAAATAAATAAAAATAAAAAAAAAGGGAGTGGGAGAACAGGCACTTCACTAATAAATATAGAAGCACATAGAAAAGATAGCACAACACGTGTGACAATAAAAGAGCATTAAGAACGAAAATAATCTTTGCCTTCCTTTACCAGGAAAAAGGAAAAAAACAAAAAGAAAAAAAATTATTTTATTATTGGCAAAACCCTATATTACCCCATTTTCACAGAAATAAATTCCGATATTTTTTCCCCTGATCAGCTATAAATATCGAAATCAATAACATAACTTAGGAAATGGAAGTATTAAAAAGTCACTTTTAACCCGCCTCCCAATGGAGACGGTGTGGGTGTGGATTAAATGGGCCTCCGAACACTTACGGTTTGGAGACTGTAACAACGAAAAGAAAAATAAAATAATTTCACGAAACGCTTAATGTCAGTATTAAAATCGTTTTCATAAATAAATATAAGATTTAACCATTCTTTTTCACAAGCTGTCAAAGAGAATTTTTTATATTTCCTAAACCCTAGGGATCGCATCCACTGTTACTCGACGTTACCGTGAGGTAAATTGTACACATAAAGCAAGGGAAGGTGAAGCAACACAAAACATGGAAAAAAAAAAAATAATAATAATAATAATACTACTAACGATAATAATAATAATAATAGGCAGAGACACAGTTAACGTTTTACAACTTTCATCCTAAAAAAAAAAACAAAGAACCGCTTTTAAAGAAGATATATACCCCTTTTAACCTTTAATATGTACACCTTTCGCTTGCTTCCTGGAATGAGTTTATATACTTCCTGAAGTACCCACTAAATTTCAGTAAGCGCTTTCTTTTTCAGAGAACACACACTTTCTTCCTCTTGTTGAAGAAGATGTAACTCCACTGCTTCTACCTCACAAACTTCTTTACGGGAGCAATATCGACGATACACAACAAACGAAATCACACCCACGATCATCATCAACAGTAGTACACCAAGAACAACGCCGACGATAAGAGCGGTGTTGCTCTTATCTTTCACCTCATCTGCTGGCTTCGTTGGTGTGGGAATGATGTCACCCTTCCATCCTGCCTCATCAGCGCCTGCTCCCAATACAAGAAATCCGGCACTTTGCTCCGCACTCCACTCCGTCTCTGATACGCGGACAGAGACGCCAATAGCATGCACTCCTTTCTCCTTATCTCTCGGTATGTTAAGTGTGCAACTGAGCTGCGTTTCGCTTACAGAAGTCACCTCACACTGGATGGGGTTTGCTGCTGCACTGTCACCCAAGGTGACTTTTGTGTACGTAGTGTCAACAGGGTTGAAGTTGATACCGTGAAATGTTAATTGTGCTCCAGTAACACAACTCGCGCTTGCCACTGCGCACATTCCTGACGCAGAATCAACAGATGGATCTGGCGGCTGAACGCGAAGTGTTCGAACAACATCATCCTCAAAAGGCAAGGGCTCGTGACCATCGGTGAGAGACACATTCCAGTTGCCCATAACTCCAGCTCTCACAGACATTTCACAGGTCAGGACAGCTGGCATTACCTTCTGAATAGTGCACAATGGTATAATCATTTTACCTGCCGCAGAAGTAGCAGGAGTGAAAACCACACTGTATTGTGTGTTGTTGTTGAACTTCCCATGCAATTCGAGGATGGTGCCATTACTCACTGTAGAAGGCTGAACAGCTGTTACGCTTTCTGTTGTGGGGGCAGTCGGCTTTGTCACATGAAGAGTAATAGGTAAGCTCACAACCTTGGAATCAACAAGCACCACTTCCCGTTGGCCAGATTTCCTTGGAGAGCATGAAAGACAGATACAAAGGCAATTGAGGTTGCCCTCGTAGCCGTAGAGATCCTGAGTAAAAGATGCATCACTGTTGGATGTCAAAATGGCAATACGGTCCTTCTTGTTTGTGAGTTGTGCGAAGCATGTTTTCGCATCACATGTCTCAGGTGAACCAGTTGTCTCAAACGGAATCAGCACCGCATCACCGTCCATCACGCCACCTTTGATTTGAAATACGGTTTGTTGGGTGCCCAGAACCTCACTAGGACCAAATTGGGTGTTTCTGTAAGCAAGAAGGTCGAGTAGTATACTTCCCGTAGATGATTTGCCGTACACAATAACGTTGAAGGTCCCATTACCGAGAGGAGGGACAACGATGTCGTTGTTAGTACCAACTGAAATTACACCAGAGAAGTTAAGTGATTGCTGTTGCTTAAGAGCATAGTCCATTCCCCTGTACTTTGACACTTCGGCCCCAGGAATAATCGTACTGACAAAAGAAATATGCCATCCTGGATCCACACCTTTTACAGTCAAAGGACAAGAGACACCCGCCAGGCAAGTGGCACGGTCAATAGAAGGTACAGAAGGGATATCAACAAATAAATGTGTCTCCTGGCTTTCTCGGTCATTTGCAAATGCTTGGGCAGTGACCGTAGTGGATTTTGTAATGGTCACAGGGCTTGTGTATACCTTCATCTCAGCTGAATTATCGATGCTGTACTTTATTGTTGCACCTGGAGTTGCAGAAGTCATGGTTACCAACTGCGTGACAGCTGCAGGGTTTTGCACTGTCAGAACTGGTGCCTCAATAATAATAGGGTAGTCATACGTATAGCCGAGCTCCCCCTTCCCACTCGATGTTGGAGTGATGCTTAGCCACATAGAAAGCGGTGGAATACTATCACAGCATGGCACAAAACGACGCTGCTGGATCTCCTTATCAGACTCACCCCATTCAGGACCCACACCACCATGAGTTTCTCGCCAACTATGGCACAAGGAGGTTTCATCACCACCATTCTTTGATATCTGCACCCACTCATTCACGTTAGAGCTCACAGGAACAAAGGAAGAGTTACCCTCAACTGGTATTACACCTGGTCGTCCCACACCAAGTGGGCAAACAGCTGAATGTGAACACAATTCTGTATCATTATTCTCAGCGCAAATAGCATTTGCATTGGTCCAAGAGGTATTGCCACTATCAGTATCAACCAAATAGAATGCATCCTTTGCCCTTAGCTTGATAAACACCTGATGCCAACCTGATTTCAGTGTCACGGTATGAACGTTCTCAGATGAGGGGGTGAGGGGTGCTGAACCGATAACCTTGGCGTCCATCCAAATCGCATAACCACCTTGAAAGGTAATACGTATATCGGCCACCATCTCTGTTGTAGCGTACAGTACGAAAGCCCAATACTGGTTGAAGTTCCCACCAAAGGCACGGTTTTTCCAGATGCCATTCGTGCTCGTCCCGCTTACCCATTGGAACTGACGCTCCTGCCCCAAGACCCAAACACGCTGCTTAGATAGCAATCCAGGCATATAACTTGGAGAGATGGGGATATCGGCGAACCTTTCGCCTATTGCCGTTCCATTTTTTGGGTCAAATGGAATTGCGCCATTTTCAGTTTCTTCATCAACCAATTCCATCAGAGAAGGAATTGGTGTGCCAGGACGAACAGGGGCCAAACCAAACGGCAAACTACTACCAGGGCTCATGGCGCCTCCAAGACGATAGTTGTCAAAGTGAATATAATACATGAATAACCACGACTGACCCTTTGTGGCAGCAACACGTGCAATCACTTCATGCCATCCACTTGAAAGAGGTGTGGTGAAACTCTCGTTCTTGCTTCCACCATCGCTCGGGCGGCTGTAAGCAACGATACCATCAACGAAAAATTCAGTTTTACCTCCAGTAATAAAGGTCCAACCTACAGGTACAGTTGAGTCATATCCATTGTAAATAGCAAAGGCAAGATATTTCACGGCCGCTTCCTTATCCTCTGGTATGGTTTCCCCAGAGACGGGAATCTCACCTCTGTTGAAGACCAATACTTTCCAAGTTTTGTTTAACATCTGGTCCCCACGCTTCGGTACAGCGTAACGCACGTTAATGAAATCCTCATCAAGTCCACCGTAGAGGAACTCATCCTTTTTTACTCCCAAGTGTAGAAGATAAAACATGTAGTCATTTCCCCAGAGTTCATAAGCGCCTTCAGGGATATCCGACTTGACGGCATGCGTGTAGCCGACAGCAGTGCCAACCACACGAATCCAAAACTGCGAGTTGGTCGTACATGTTTGGGGATCTTCCTTTCCAGAACCATCAGAGAACATTTTTACAAGGACCTGATGATAGCCTTGTGTTACTTGAACCGTAAAGGAACCACGGCCCTCAGCGTCCGAAAGTTGAGGAACAAAGCGTTTGCCACCAAAGTAAACCAAAGCGGCACTGTCAAATCCGTACTGTACAACGATTCGCTGTGCCACTGCACTGTAGACAGAAAAAGCATAGTACTGTATACTCTTGCATGGGACCTCCGCATTGAATACACCATCAGAGACAGTAACATTTTCCCATCTGTACTTCGTTGGAAGTAGTCCAGCAGTCTGTGCCGTATTGAAATGGCCTGCTACAGGACGAATTTGAGACTCACCACCAACAATGGTGGATGCGAACCAGTCTTCCTCGAGTGCTACTTTTCCATCCACCGGACCAATTGCAGCACCCATTTCACCGAAATGTACAAGTTCCGGAATATTATCTTTTTCGCATGGTTTCACATCCCATGGGAGTTTTCCCACAACTTCCGCTTCCGTCTCCAACACTTTTGTGTTTACTGTCATTGGTCCTTTAACAAGTTCAACAGTAATGCTGTATTTTGTGTCTCCAACCGCTGGAGGGTCGCCGTAGTGTGTATACCGTCCTGTCGGACTTGATACAGTGGTACTCTTACCGTTTGCCACGATTTTAAAATCCACAGATCCATTGTACGGCTCGCTGCGCATGTTCCACACATTCACCTCGAACATAACTGGACCATTCGTGACCGCAAGGGTCGGCTCCACACCCCACGAAAGATACATTACAGGAATCATCGGGGTGAGAAGTAAACGGTACGGTCGAAACCACGCGGCCTTCTGCTCGGGCAGCAGTGCGCAACATCCGCCTGTGTGATTCCCATTTTCACCGTTGTCTCCCCAGAACGATAGTGTACTGCGTCCACCGGTGGCATATCCCTCTGCGGAGCCGCCCAACGCATCGTCGTAGAGAGACGGTGCGATGGGAATTGTGAAGCCATCCCAGTCGCTGTTGCGTGGGTCCTTTGGGGCATAGACGTATTTATTTGCAGATGTTGTGCTGGTGAGGAGATCACACAGAGTGGCGTTTGCCTGGGGAATAAGATAATCCTTGTATGCACCCATCTCAACTGTGAGGAGAAAGTTGTCCGCATATGAACTGAACTGGTCACAAGATTTTATGTAGTTTTTGTTGCTCTGGTTGAATCCATTTTTGATGTCATCAATGGTCAGCTTTTTGGTGCCATCCAGCTCACCAATGATGATATCCTCTACTGCATTCGTGGGATTAATACAGAGCAGAAGAGTCATCATGAGTACCATGACAGGTACGAATCGTCGAAATAAGTGGGGTAGAATTACCTTCATTGGTAAATATCTTCTCCAATATCCAGCAAAAAAAAAAAAAAAAAATATTATTGAACTCAATGCGTTACCGCCTTTTCTTTTTTTTTTTTTTCTTCCTCTTCCCAATATTTAAAGAGATGGAATATGTATCGTTTCACACCTTTCTACGGTTTTTAACAGTATTTTTTTTTTTTCTACGATATTTTATTTATTTTTTTCTTTTGCTTTTTAAAAAGAAATTAAACCTTGGTCTTAGACTTTACATGCGGAATAGTAAAAAGTAGAAAATGATGTGGTAAGATATACCATTATGAGAGACAAGGAACTGCAAACTACCAGATAAAGGGAATAATCCCTGTCATTAAATAATAACAATAAAAAAAAAAAAAAAACAGTTCTTTTTAGTTTAACAAAGTACAATATAGTATGTCTCTTACCGTTTCCCCTTATAAAAAGAAAAAAAAAGAAGGAAAGATATTAAAATCTATTGTCTTTGTATATTGCAATCTCCGATTAACCCCCTATCCCAATTTATATCCAATTTACCCATGAAGAATTTTACATTAAAATAAAAGTAAACATGACTGACAAAGTGAAAGTATTGAGAGACCACTCTTCCACCTACTGCTATTATCGTGGTAGTGGATGGCAATTGTTTTTTTTTTTTTCTTTTTAATTAAATGATTTCCTGATCTTTCTCTTTTTATCTTCTGAGAGAACACGAGTCGTCCTATTCAACCAGGTGGAGAAGCGGAATACCCCTCCCCCTGCAAATAACAGGGAAAAGTGCGTATCTGCGAAGTTGAACACATTTGTGTCTAAACCCTTTTTTTTTTTATTTTATTTTATACAACAACCGAGTAACAACAGAAAGAAAAAGAAAAAGAAAAAGAAAAAACCATCGAACAAACTAACGAGCTGAAAATTAATAATAATAATAATAATAATAATAATAATAAAAGAACAAAAAAAAAACAATTACAGAAATAAGGGATTTGGGATACCACTTCAGCAAAAAACAAATAACAACACACACACACACAAAAAAAAAAAACATCACTGTTATAAATTCTTCTTTTTTTTTCATTCTTTTGTTGTTAAAACGAATGCAAATCGATGAAATTTTGACAAACACACAAACACCCATACCCACATCCCATTCATTCATTCATTCATTCATTTTTGTTTTCTTTTCCTTCTCTCCTTATCATCAAAGATCCAGAATTATTAAATGTGGCCTTGCAAGAATCTCTTGAACTCCAGAAAGTGTCAATGACGTACATCGCATAGCACTTACTCTTCGTAGTGCGGGAGATTGGGCAAGATGGTTGATATCAGTAACAAGATCCAAATCATCTAAAATGATATCAGTCAACAGAGGGAGTTTTTCAAGTCCACGCAGACCCGCCGCCGTGAGTCGCTGACATCCACGCAAATTAAGATACTGCAGACGACAACAACCATTTGCCAAACAGGTCACTGAATCTACACCACAAAACGCCATGTTAAGATGACGGAGGGATGAACAAGACTCAATACCGCAAATGCCAAATGTACGAAGACGTTCCATTGAAGTAATGTTAAGTATCTCAAGAGATTGAGATTTTCCAAGAGAGGTAATATCGTTGGCTTGACTTTTTGTCATGGAAAGAGTTCGTAATGTTGGAATTAACTCAAGACCTCGTAATCCATCACTTTCAATATTTAAACAGTTATCTATATATAATTCTTCCAGTGATGTAGAGCTCTGTAAAAAAGAGACACTTACAATGGGAGTATCTGAGAGATAAAGTATCTTTAATGTTGGAATATCAACAAGTCCCTCCAATCCTTGTTGTTCTAAATGACGACAACGACTAAGATCAAGTTCGACTAAACTACAAGAAGAATATAATGCCTCTACACTAATAACATTCGTATCCTGTAAAGAGAGATACTTTAACACTTTACAAGAGTCTAGTCCAATGATTGAACCTCTAAGAATACGTTTACAACCACTTAATCGAAGATGTTGTAAAGATGAACTACCAGATAATATTTTAGTGGAATCTACACGTGTAAATTCCAATGCTAACATTTCCAAATATGGTAATATCCCTAATTCAATAATTGAAGCTGTATTAATTCCATTACACCTAGTAAGTAAAAGTTGACGAAGAGTCTTGCAATTTGATAAAAAGTTAACATCTCGTAAACCATCATTATACGCCAAGGAAATATATTCTAATGGTGCCTTTTCTATTTCTAAAAGTGTTTTTGTAGAAAATATACGACATGCATGTAGTATTAATTCCCGTAAGGTCGTACTTTTAGCAATAAACGAGAGAGCATCTATAGTGACCCTTTCAAGATGTAAGACTTCAAGTGTTGGAATACATTCTATTCCTTGTAATGTAGAGGTGTTAAAAGCAAAATCCAAAACAATATGAAGTTCACGTAGAGAATTTGAATAACGTAGTGATGAGAGTTCCCGAACAGAAGTTCCCTCAAGCCATAAAATTTCCAAATCTGAAATATTTTCTACTCCACGTATTCCAGATGAATCCAGTTTAGTATTCGATAGAAGGTATAATTCCTTCAAGGAAGTGTCACGGTGATTTAGCAATGAAAGTGATTTTATTGCGGAAGGACAAATGTAAAGAACTTCAAGAGATGGTAAGGATTCTAATCCACGTATATCTGTACAATCAAGTAAACGAGGTTGTACTAAAGTTTTTTCACATTGTGAAGAAGTACAACAACTTTCACAACCACCACTTCTTTGCATAGTTGCTTCTAATGACATGAAACCTGGACTTTCCCAAATGGAATTACTACTCATAATTTCATCACTTCTCACTTTGGTTCCATGTAAAATACTATTAAATCCATTATTGTATAGATTATCATAATCCCCATCTTTTTTATTCATATTATTCTCACTAAAATAACCAAGTACTGTTTCATTTACACTCACAGGACCCATTTCCTCCACATAAGGTGCGAATACATCATCTTCACCAAATTCTTTTCGTGGTGATCCCAAACACAATGCGGGGGAAGGGAATATACAAAGCACACGCACATTCGCATTACCAGCGAGCATGCATCTAATCCACCACCACATCTCTCGTGGCGGTGGTAATAGTCCTTCATCAAGAGAGAGATATAATTCCTGCAGATGTGATAAACCCGCCACGAGGGCAGTTGCCAACCATTGTAAATGCCGCTCCGTAATATGAAGAGCCAATCCACGCGCACGTGGGAGTAGACGAGAATTTCCATCTGGTGTTACTATCTTCCACGCATCGTTTGGAATTGTTTTTGTCATCTCATCTACGGCAAGTGGAATACGACTCCGCGCCGCCCAGCGCATATCTTCTCCAGAACGTGGACGGGCCAACCAGTAGAGAATATCTTCACTCGGCGCCTCTACACTACTGGAGAGAAAGAGATGACATGTAGAGGACATATCTTCTAATACTAGCACATCAGTAGTAGAGCCACACACCCACTCACTATTTGTATTATGATTATTATTATTACTACTATGATGATGATTATTATTATTATTATTATTATTATTATTACAATTACTACTACTATTACTATAACTATTACTACTAATAATAACATTGCTATTGAGACGTCCTTGTCGCCAAAGTTGATCTAACAACATGGCATCATGATGATGTAAAGCAGGTGGGAGTGGGGAACGGTGACGACGTGGAATGGCCACTCCCTCACGCGGACGATGACGATGAATAGAACTAGGCGGAGGCGATAATTGTTGTTTCTCTTCTTGTTGTTGTTGCTGTTGGAGTTGTTGTACAGATCGGATCCATCCCCGCTGCTCCACACGGCGCCGAAGCCACGGTGTGGCTATTGTGAATGCAAGCGGCACGGCGCCATCCATGTACGCCAACACCGTGTCAAGATCAACACGGTGTTGTATAGACACACATCCGCCTACCATTACAGATAAATAAATAAATAAATAAATAAATATATTTATATATAAAGAGAAAAGAAAGGGGAAAATGAAGATCGCAGACCTCCTTTTTCTTCTTATCGAATTAGGCAAAATTCCTTTGCTAGTAGTAAAAGTCTAGTGAGTCTGCACGATATGCAGCCCCGCCCTTCATGCCAAGAGGGAATCGCCCTCCTTCAATCGCCGTGTAAACACGTCGTCCAAGTATCACTGT